TCGCAAGGCTGAAACTTAAAGGAATTGACGGAAGGGCACCACCAGGTGTGGAGCCTGCGGCTTAATTTGACTCAACACGGGGAAACTTACCAGGTCCAGACATAGTAAGGATTGACAGATTGAGAGCTCTTTCTTGATTCTATGGGTGGTGGTGCATGGCCGTTCTTAGTTGGTGGAGTGATTTGTCTGGTTAATTCCGTTAACGAACGAGACCTCAGCCTGTTAAATAGGCATGCGAACGCTCGCGTTCGGCAGCTGACTTCTTAAAGGGACTGTTGGCGTTTAGCCAACTGTAAGCTTGAGGCAATAACAGGTCTGTGATGCCCTTAGATGTTCTGGGCCGCACGCCGCGCTACACTGATGAATTCAACGAGCTCACCCTTGACCGAGAGGTCTAGGAAATCTCTGAAAATTCATCGTGATGGGGATAGATCGTTGCAATTATTGATCTTCAACGAGGAATACCTAGTAAGCGTGAGTCATCAGCTCGCGTTGATTACGTCCCTGCCCTTTGTACACACCGCCCGTCGCTCCTACCGATTGAATGATCCGGTGAAGTTTACGGAAAGCGACGACGCTGACGGTCACCCGTCGGTGACGCTGCCTGAAGTTCATTAAACCTTATCATTTAGAGGAAGGAGAAGTCGTAACAAGGTTGCCGTGCGCGGCACAAAACCCCTTCCGCAGGGGCTTTGCACGTACACGGAAGCCTGAGCGGCCTGCCTCTCGAGGGGCAGGTGCGTCTCTCCCTCTCGCCGACGGATAGAGAGGGGAGGGACGCTAAGCGCTAGTGCACCGGGGTGGGATTTGCGGCCCGTGAGCGCGACCCCCCTCGGCGCGACACCGTCCAACTGCGGAGACCTCTCGAGAGGCCGTGCTACCAAGCGCCGGCCCGGCTCGGCTGCCCCCCTCTTATCGACGGGGTCAGACGGCCGGGGGCGTGGCCCGACGCAGACAAGGCGTCGGGGTATGGTGACAACGCACGGCCGGGTGAGACGATCCGCAGCCAACCCGGGCCCGTCTCCGGGTCCTACCTCCAGGACCCGAGACCGGCAAGGGGCAGTTCACAGACTGAACGACGGTGGGTCTGCCTCCGAGCAGGCCTAAGATACAGTCGGCGAGCGCGGGAGACCGCGCTCCTCGTCCCGAAGAGGATGCAGGATTTCACCGTTCCGTAGGTGAACCTGCGGAAGGATCATTGACACACTCAGTGAGCCCTTGGGTTGCGGGGTCAATCGCAGCCCAAACCCCGGGTCGGCAGGTGCGGCGCTCGCGTTGCATCGGCCTCCTGGGTGGGGAAAGCGCGTGCTCGCGTCCCGCTCGCAAAAAGGAATCGGGTTCCACCCGTGCCCGGGCTGCGAGCGGCGACGAGAGAGATGGCGGGCTCTCGCGTTCCTCCTAGGAGGAGGCGAGCGTCCAGAGCACGCTCGAGGGCACGGAAGGATGACGACCGGCGTTCAGCCGGCTGCCGGATCTCCGTGCCCGTGGCCTTGTCGGAGGATCCGTCGGAACAATGCAGGAACCCCACCTCAGGCCGTGCCCCGCGAGCGCGTCGGTCGTTTTGGCGAGCGATCGGCGAGCTGGCGTGGTGCGGTGGCTCGAAAAAAGTCCGAGCACCGATGGATCCGTTGTGGTGCTGAACGGAAAGCGCACCCCGACAGGCATGGGGCACCGCCCTGGTTGATCCCAGACCTCGGCAAACGCCCCTAAGAACGAGTGACGAAACGACCGCCCTCGGGTCCTCCGGGTTGCTCGCAACTCGGGGGGACCGGGCGAACCTCCTCTCGCAGGAGGTCAGGTTGCCGTCCCCTCTCACGCAGCGAGCTTATTAGGGCCGCCACCCGAAAGGCTAGCCGCGATCGGGAGCGAGGCAAGACGCGGACACGGTCGGCCTGGGCGGAGGGGTGGCACCCGAAGCTCTTTCCTTCCAGTTCGTGACGAGCCTCGACACCAGGGAATGCAGCAACCCGGCGGCACCGGGCGTCCATGCGGACAAAAAAAAAACTCCCCAGCCCTGATGGAAACAGCTCGGGCCTACCAAGCGCAAGCGAGGGAAGCCCGGGGCCTGACCTCGAGTATCCTCTGAACACCTTTCCTTCCGACGCTCCTCCTCCCAATCCAGCGTCCCCCGCCACCGGTGCTCGGTCTCTCTTGGCATCGGCGGTGTGACTGCGGGGTCTTGCTCGCCCGGCCTTCTGAATTCCTCTAGGAAGGCTCGGGAAGGGGCGCCCGCGGTGATGGCAAAGGGACCCTTTTGCTACCCCCAACCGTCCCGCTCGCAGTGCATCAAGGAGCTGCGGGCAGAGGCGGAATACAAACCTCTCCGCAACCGGAACTGGCCGTCCGGTCGCAAAAAACCCTCCCTTGAGCGGGGCGCCCACGGGCCCCGGCACCTAATAAAAACTGGGACCCCACTCCTGACGATGGATATCTTGGAACCTGGCTCGATGAAGAACGCAGCGAAATGCGATACGTAATGCGAATTGCAAAACTCCGTGAATCATCGAAACTTTGAACGCATGTTGCGCCCGAGGCCTCGGCCGAGGGCACGTCTGCTTGAACGCCACACACATCCAGGTGGAACCTCGCATCCGAACCCACCCCTCCGCACGCAGCTAAGTGCGGCAGGGGAAACGGGACGGGAAAGCAATGCGGGGCAGACAAGGGGCGCTCGGGTTGGTGTGGGCTCCGGCCCCCCCTTTCTCCGAGACAATCGCTCGTACCTGGGAAAACGAGATGGCCGTCGCAACCCGTGCGCTCCGGGGCACAAATGGGGGGCAGTCGGTTGAAATCGCAGGGCCGCATTAGCCCGTCTCCGCTCCTCTCGACCCCAGTGCAGATCCCCGGGCGCCACCCGGGAGGACGCGAGTGGGACGAGCGAGATGAGGCGGGCGGCGACCCCGCTGGGCTCGGCGAACCCAGCCGGCCAACGGACTCCGTCCGGACCTCCCAGCAGGTGGGGGGCCGGTCACTCGGTCCCTCTTTCTCTCCCGAGACGGTCGCGAAAAGGTTCGGGAGCCGGGGGCGTGGCAACCCCCGGTCTCCCCCTCCAAAGTAGCGCACAAGAACGGGCGAGAGGCGGACGGGGCTCGTACAAAAATGGTCGGACGGGGAGGAACCGGGCAAACCCCAAACGATGGCTTCAAGTCAGGCGAGACCACCCGCTGAATTTAAGCATATTACTAAGCGGA